CTCCTTAATAAGGTAAAGTATTTTGAAATTCAGGCGGAGCTTTTGCAATGTTTACGTTACGAATCACGAACGTTTGCACTGCGCTGCGGACTGGAGCTTTTCTTTTTTAGTTTTTGGTTGTTTTAAAATGAATCTGTTTTTTGCGTTTTAAAATTCAAAAAGTCAGAACAATTAAGATTTCTAAATTGAAATATTAATTTTTGATTTGCACATTATGCTGCATTATACACCTCTTAGCATAGCATAGCACGAGTCCAGTGCGGATTGGTATTAACGATAGCATATCCAGCCAGAACCAACGGCTGAACTTGCGTTCCGAAGTACGGAGGAGCTGGAGTTAACAAAACTTTAGTCACCCATCCTATGACTGGCCATTGCGAAAGTGCTTATCAATTGTACCGCAGCCCCAGCGCGCTAACAACATAAAATAGAGTCTCATGAATAAATATCAATTCGCATCCCCGATTACACTAATCGCCTATTTAAATATTGCAACACGCCTACCTTTTATGTGTTTATTTTCTTATAATATTAGGTTAAGGAAAGTCTTTTCGCATATACTAGTAGTATGCATAATAATAAAATCTTTCTGGCTATACCTTTTGTATCTGACTGGTTTCGGTATCATTGAAAAGTTTAAATTATAAAGAAGATAACTCCGATTTCAAATTGGGAAAATGTGTGATTTTCATTTGTTTTTCTTACTGTCAAAATAAGTGAATCTAATGAAAAAATTCGAAACACTTTAAAATTTTATTACTAAAGAGGTAAAAATGCAACGCAAACCGCGATAAAAATTGTGACGTATATGAACCCTGCGCAGTTTCTGTGATAGTAGCACACATTTGGTTTAAAAGTTTTCTGTCCGCAAATTTTGATATCAAATATGCACGTCGTACCAGTCGCCCTGTCAAAATGAATGCCATTTTTTTAAAACTTAGAACAAAATTGGCATATCAGTAGTTACGACGTAGTTGAAGAAATGGGGATTGACCACAAAATAATTTTGGAGCATTTTAAAAAGCTGGGTGCACTAAAACGTTGGATATTTAGGTATCTCTCGAGTTCATTGAAAGAAATCTAATGAACCGTGTACTCATTTGTGATTCTTTATTACGGCGTATTGAAACCGAACCATTTTTGAAGAAACTGATAACTGGTGATGAAATGTGAATCACGTACGACAAGAACGTGCGAAAAAGATCTTGATCAAAGGTCGGTCAGGCTTCACAGACTGTGACGAAACCCGGGTTAAATCGCAACAAAGTGATGCTGTGTGTGTGGGGTGAGATTAGAAGGAGATTATTCATTATATGCTGGACCCAAGCAGGATCATCGATTCTGAACTCTACTGCGAACAACTGATGAGATTAAAGCAAAAAGTTGAGAGAAAGCAGCCAGAATTAATCAATAGAAGGGATGTGCTTTTTCATTATGATAATGCCTCACACATCTTCAGCAAAAAAATTAAGAGTTTGGCTGGGAGGTGTTAATACATCCGCGGTATAGTCCTGGTCTTGCACCTTCAGATTTCCACCTGTTTAAGTCTCTTCAGAATTTTGTAGGCAGTGTCAGGTTAACATCATGCGAGGACTACCAAAACTGTTTTTTGATCATAAGCCCCAAATTTTCTATAGCAATGGGATCATGTCCTTACCTACAAGATGGCAAAAAGTTATCGAACAAAATGGTGCCTTCATACTTTAGTTAAATGTAAATATGTAAACATGTAAACTTTATCAAAAAATGTTTTGAATTTTCATATAAAATGCGAAGAAACTTTTTCCCCAACCTAATATTTATTGTGAGTTTCAATCTAAAAAACCGACTTGTCAAAAGTTTGTAGTCTAAAAGAAAACGAAAAGCTGTGATCGGATAAAATGTTTTCTGAGAAGTTGTTCGAATCTGGTATCAGATTTGATTGAAAATAAAATACGAAGAAACGTAACCAAATAAGAGTTAACTTTTTAATAAGTCTTTTGTGTAACGTATTTTTATTGGTAGTCTTTTTTTAAGTTGACTGTTATTTAAGATTAACTAAGCTATTTTTTTTAAATAGACTATGTATACATTATAATTGTACGTAAGTCTCGGGAGGATTAAGCTATTTAAGGCTTGTTAAAGTAGGATTAATTTGAGAAAGCTCAGCCTCACGTTTTATAAAAAAAGCGTCTAATATTAAGAAAATATTTTTAAGAAAAATAACAGCGTTTTATGTTATTTACTTCAAACTTTTATTTTTTATTATTAATTAATTTTATCGTAATCCTCTTAGTGTGTATTGTATCTTTATTATATACTAGTTATGCCCGCGACGTCGTCTTGCTGGAAAGTAACCTAAGTTACTCCTTATCACATATTAACCTATCTGCCAATGAAAACCCCGAAAAATGGTGGAGCCGTTTAAGAGATTAGCCCGAACAAACAGACAGACAGGAAAAAAATATATTTTGGTATATGTACTGTGTATACGAGTACATACATGTTTTGGTCAAAAGCGGTTAATTTAATATTACAAACAGACACACCAGTTTAATTTATTTGTATAGATATGTCGTGTCGTACCAAGGAGTGATGTTGATAGGATAAGGAACTATGGAAATGAATCCACCGACAAGAGTATCACTCGAAAATATATTTCAATATTATAAAGTGGATAGATTCGATTGTTTGTTTGTTTATATCGAAGAGGCTCCAAACTACTACACCGATTTTAAAAATTATGTCACCTACGAGTAGCTACATCACACGTGGTTGACATACCTAGGCTATTATTTACGCCTGCGCAATCGCGGGAACGCAGCTAGTGTTATTAATCTTCACAGAGGACCGTTTACCGTTACAGTGGATATTTTTGTCATTTTGATCTTTAGTAGGTATAATGGCAAAAATGAGTAGTCGCCATATTAGTTTTTTTTAATAATACATATAGACGCATAGAAACAGCAAATTTTAACAACTCTGATGCACAAATTGGACTAAATTTAACTTTTTTTTACTAAAATAACAGAAGTGGGTACCTATCTTACATTATAAGTTTGTATTTTCACCAAGTATATGCTGAACCGAAATAACTTTGGCACATAATGTTTTCATTCTTCATGTGATTATGATACAATATCTTATCTTTGTCCCGTATATATATATATATATATTTTTAAGTATGCAGGAGTATTATTTTTCGTTGGTAACATGTGACTAGGGAATTGTGTTAAACAAAACCAGTAATTTTCGATATTTAACTTAGGGGACATCTATAAATTACGTCACATGTTAGGAGGAGGGGGGGGGGGGGTCGACGAACTGTGACATTAGTAGAACAATATTTAGTAGAATTTGTATAGAAAAACAGGTGACAGGAGAGGGAGGGGGGGGGGGGTTAAAAATCATGAATTTTTTGTGACGTAATTTATGGACGGCCCCTTACGGGATTCCATAGGTAAATTCAGTGGCTCCCATTCGTCGTCGTAGGGATATGCATTTACTTAACAGTTTAATCCCATGATACCCCATATCTCAAATCTCGCTTTAAATTTTTCTCATATACGCATGATCTCTCTCTTCGCTTTTCTAATTATCGATTGTTCATTCCTTTCTCTTAGTGAGATTCACTAAATGCGAGTGTAGACAATAAACAAAAATAAATACCAGTTTTTTTTTTTTCAGGTAGTAATATTTTCACACTTTTATGCTTATTATATGTATAATGTTGCTTAAACTAATTATGATAATACAAATATTTTGTGATCGTTGTCACGTGACCGCATTCAACTCGTGACGTCACGCCCTTCTTACTTATATCAAAACTTAAGCCCGTTTCCACTAAACTTAGCAGTCACCCAAACCTGACACATAAATATTTGGGTTTCACCGGTAACAAGGAGCCACCCAACGACATTAAGCAACGCTTAAAGTTAGGACATGCATTGTACGCTAAGCATTTGCGTAATGTGACATGCATTCACTCTTTGGCCATAGCGGATGTGTCAAGGGATAAAATCAATTATGTAAGTTGAAATCAAGGAGTTTATATATTAGAATAAAGATAAAAATAATGGGATTTTTTGAATTTTCGGATTTTTTTGTATGGACTATGATGACTTGGGTACTCGTGTAAATACAAGACCACATACAATTTTTCTTGTTTTATTAAAACCTCAAAATATATTTTTTTGTCTCTTTACATGTAAAGACGACTAATGTGACATGGCGTAATAGTGTAAACACATATAGACTATACATTAAAAAAAGGCGAAGATTCAGATCTTCCGCATGCTAGATAAACGTTGCCTTTCTAAGAAAATTATTAATAAAGTATTACCGAAAGTTACAGATTTGGCGAAACGACAAATCTGCTTATGCTAATTAAGTGATTTCTAGTTAAGCTATGCCTTGTTCTAGGTTAGTGAAAACGGGCATTAGAGAATTAATCCTTATTCTTACATAGAGTGATATTCGCCGTTGAGTGGCGCTTTAACGGGAAATTTTGAAAATTATTGTTATAGTTATAAAACAAAAATATAAAGAATATCTACACCCCTATTCTTAAGTCAATCGTATACAGTACAAGCAATAATATTGTGGAAATCTACCTGAATCTTAATAAAAATCCCATTTCCTGACAATGTCAAGCAAGTTTAGCCTGTATCGATAGATTAGTATTTTCTTTTTTTTTACTTTTCGCGCCCTGGTTGTCTTGTGTTTTGATAATTCTCTATTACAACTGTTGTTCTTCTGTTTTGTTTTGTTTGATACAAATCGTTATTTGTTATCTGCACAATCTACTATTTAATGTTTTGTTTTTTCCATCCAACGAAAGGTTGCCAGGAAGAATTAATTGGCTAGCGATTAGTGTAATTTAGAGATTTTAGCTGCAACATAATTAACAAAAGTTGCTCTACGATATTTTTGTTTATAAATTCTTCTATAATTATTGTAAAATGATCATGCCAATGTCTAGTTAAATTGTGTTCATATAGTAATGTGTAAATTTGTTGCAGGGCTACACCAAGTCGATAGACATCTGGTCGGTCGGTTGTATTCTAGCGGAGATGCTGTCGAATCGGCCTATCTTCCCTGGCAAGCACTATTTGGACCAGTTGAACCATATTCTCGGTGTGCTGGGTTCACCCAGCCGGGAAGACTTGGACTGCATCATCAATGAAAAGGTAAACACATCAGTTATTGATAATACCTAGAGCGAGAACTTAAGATGAAATGCAAATTAAAAATGAAATAAATAATATTATATTACTAAATCAGTTAAAGATCTGATTTTGGTGCAATTGATAAACCAAAGAATACTAAAAGTTTACTTCTTCTTTTTAAGTAAGGGCATATTATAAATGTCATAAAAGTCATTCTTAATCATTTGTCATTATGCCGCCTGCCAGCTATTTTCCAACATTTATAATTATAGATTTGAATGGTTTTGCCTTCATTGACAACAAACTAATCTAGTCATAAATTTTGAATTCACAATGCTTAATAATATTAATCTTAATAAAAAATACATTAAAAGAATCCACTATCTGTATTATTCATCCCATCTCATCTGAAGATTTAACTTTGTTTCATTATGAATGCCTATGAAATCTAATGACATTTATTTTTGAATGATAGTTATTCGCGGGATTGCTGTCATGTACCTTGTTTTTGTTGAGCTCCTCATATTTCGGCGCTGTTGCAAGCGCCATTATCACGGGGTAACTGAAGTTTTTGCGGGTGGGTGTCATAGGCAGATATATCTATCTACCTTCTTTCTAGTCCTTTATCGTCCTATAGCCGTACCATTATGTCATAGTGGTGATGCGCACCTCTTCTCGACACACAACATTTATTGTATCTGGTCGCGAAACGACACTTTTGATTTATCTTCTGGTTTTGACAAATGCAAACCACTGGATTCTAGACACTCGACAATGTAAAGTCCTCACTATTGAAATTCTTGGGCTTTGTTATTTCAATCGTTTCCCTGACCATTATTGGTATGTAGTAGCGTTCAGTTGAGCTAATCTGTGGGTTATAGCTCGATCCAGTGGTTAGGTCTCGAATCAATCAAATGGTCCGCGATGGCTGGTTTTTGTGTATTGTTATTTCCTACTTTTTTGATATGTTATAAAGAGGAAACATTATATCAACTAAATATTTGGGTGATATTTGGTGAAAATCGTATTTTGTTTTGTTATTAAAGACAAACTACTGATTCGATATCTATGAAATTTAAATGGGACCACCTCGGTCTATTAAGCTGTCGATTAAAAAAGAATTTTGAAAATCGGTCAACATTTGGCGGAAATATCGGTGAACATACATAAAAAACTGTTAGAACTTAGGTACGATTATTTAGGTAGAGAAAATGAAAACAGTAATACATAATAACTGTCATCTTCCCTTTGCTTATCTTCAAACAGTATTTCAAAATTTTGGCGTCCAATAAGCTACTTACAAAATTTTAAATTGAGGTGTCGTATGCGATTATTTTGTTGGGCGAGTCTTCTACGATGAAAATCTGGTTATCGATTCTGTTTATTGTCTTTACTTGACATGACATGGCTATTTAAAAGTTAACGATGTTTTCACACCATTTTGGATTCAGAAGAATAAACTCTGTTTCGCTGAAAATGAAATTTCCCGTGAGAAATCTCTGACGAAATCAATAATAAAAATAAATATTTTGTTGAATAACTCCCTTTCGACTAAAATCTGTAAATTAATTGTCTTATTTCAAATCTATAGCAATTATTTTCAAGGTTATATGGAAATGACTTAGAAAGGGTTGTTTTTCGCGCCTATCTTGTATGTTTGTATGTAATATTCATAATTACCTTATATCTTTAGAACGTCTGGAAGGATTTAGATAAGTGGGATGTCGTTACATTTGTCTTAGTAACCAAAGTGTTCTTAAAAGATAATGTTAAAAAAAACCATTATGGCGGCTGTGCAACGCCTTTATATTTAATAATAATCGTTTATACAATGGGGGTATTAAATCAAATTAAAGGGCTCATGATTATCTTCATAAAAATCATTATATACCTTCAAGATTATCATTACCGTAATACTAATAAAAAATTTACAATGATAAAGTTTAAAATATGAACTTTGTTCTTTCACTTTCTGAACCAACCTGGTAATTTATCTAACTAAAAAGACATAAATAGAAACTATAATTTAAAAAAATACCCGCCTTCGTAATAAACATTTAACTGAAAAGGCTGGAACATGATAAAAAAATTATCAACAACATCATACATAACATGCAGTTGGAGGCAAGTACAAAGAGAGAATGATTTGAGTTATTATCCAATTTCATGCCTCCGTCTGTATGTTATGTATGATGGTGCATAAATTTTTTGTCTTGTTCCAACCTTTTCAGCTGTTATACATGGTGGCGGGTTTTTGATGTGTGAACCCTTATATTTAGCAGTCTTAAAGACAGTTGCACAAACGTCCATTAAAATTGTCATTAGTTTAAAGCGACATTACCCATACACATTTGACGTTCATTAGAACTAAAGGCGTCATTAAACCTTAATGGACGTTTGTGTAAAAGAACAAGAAAGAAAACTCTTGTTGTTGCTCTAGCCTTTTGTTCGTTTGGTTTAAATGCACCTTTAGACAATGTCTTTCAAATCGCTATCAAATGTCAGATTGTTGTAGTGTGAAGTTCACGAATGCCTTTCAAATGTCAAATTGAAAGAAATTGCGATAGATTTTAAAATCTTTAGATTTTAAAGTCTTTACTTTATATGATATTGCTATTTAAATGTTATCGTTGTTTTGACGCTATTTGGAATCAGATGAATTTACGCTGTTCGTTTTTGAAAACACAATTTCCAGCATGTCTTTTCAGTGTGAGACCAGAGACCTTGAAACCGGCGTGCAAGCCGGTCGGTCACATAAGTCGCCTAAATGAAACGAAACAACATAACTTGAAATGGATAACTAAATTCTCACACACATACACATCCTCGTGGAAAAACATAGAATATAAGCACAGTATATTTTTAACATGATAATGAGGAATTTTTTTTAAGAAAAAAAAAAGAAAGCACTAAAAAGCACCTCAATAGATGGCGACTCTAGCAAAAGTTGTATTTTGCAGGAAACGAATGGACCAAAGATAATAATTTCCGTTCCTTTTTACTAGCATATTAAAAAACTGGTATTTGCAAAGTTCGAAATTTAGATATCAATACAAATACGAAAAAGTACAAATAGAATATGAGTGGTTTATTGAGCTTTGAAAATTTATTTAGTTTTATACATGAAAGAAAAAGGTTGTCATGGAGAAATCAAGAAAATAGTCTGCTTCGAGAACAAATATTTTTTTTTCTAAAAACATTGAAGATTTGAGATTTCGTTTAATGTTTATGAAGAATAGGAAACGTTAAAATTTTTTAAATTAAATTTATTTTCGTTTACACCAGATTTAAGCTCAAAAATATCTCGCGGCCTTTAAACATCAGCTCCAATTTGATGTTATAATGTCGTCTATCTGGGTCAGACCAGGGTTTATATTACTTTTGGTTTTTCCATCTCCGATATTAAACGTCTCTGATTGCTTTCTGTAAGCTTTCACAGAGATGGGAATATAAAACACTCCGTTGGACTAAAACCCACTTTCCTTCTCTCAATTGAAATGTGTATCTTACATTCGACAAACATTTACTTATCTACCTATGTTTTGATGGAGATCGAAGAATAGATGCACTATATATCTATATAAATATTACGAAATAGATATATTATGGTAAACCACTGTTTCATATCAAAGTAGATCAATCGTCTATCATTCATCCTTTTTCTTTCACATATTTCTCGCTTCTTACATTAACTGTTTCCCCGGGACTTCGCCCGTCAATGATTATCCCATGAAAATAAATACAGAATTCATCGCACTTCGCATGCGGGTCCTATTGACCAATGTAAATGAGCTTGCAGTAGTGGATAAACTAATGACAGACAAAATTGACTACTAAAGATAAGCATAGTGATCGTCTGCACTAACACGTGGGCCCTATTGACCAATGTAAATGAGCTTACAGTAATGGATAAACTAATGACAGGCAATGGTAGCCTGCTGAAAATAAGCATAGAAATCGTCCACACTACGTATGCGGTCACTACCGACCATTTTAAATGGGCTTGTACTAGTTGGTACACCGATGAGACTCAATGATCCTTTAAAGAAAATAAGCACAGATATCACGGCACTCCGCATGCGGGCCCTGTCGACCCATAGAAATATGCCTGCAGTAGTGGATACACTATTGACAGCCCATGATCGCCTACTGTAAATAATAAGCAAAGTGTACGTCCGCATTCTGCATGCGGGCACTACCGACCAATGTAAATGACCTTGTACCCGTCGTTAAAAAAATGAGGTTCAATGAGAGCACATACACCGCCGCACACCGCATGCGGTCTCTATCCACCAATGTAAATGAGCTTGCAATAGTGGCTAATAGCAGGCAATGATCGCCTACTGAAAATAAGCACAAAAATCGTACGCATTCCGCATGCAGGTACTATCGACCAATGAAAATGAGCTTGCGCTAATCGATGAAACTTGAAAGTCTTATAGATTCGTCAACGTCATGTCTGTCTGTCTGTGCGTCCTCCAGTATGTCACAACCATTTTATTCCAAAACTATTAGCATAGATAATTAGATTCTAGGTCAATTTTGTCTGTTTTGTAGTCAGGCTTAAGACCAACATATTGAGCACATATTTTATTAGGGTTTTTTATTGTTGTACCTACATAGGGACAATATAATAAAATAATAATAAAAGGTTTTTCAGTGAGTAATAAAAAAATCCTTCATCGAGTAGTAATAAACAAAGCGCGACTGTAAATACTGCTAAGCTGCGTCCTCGCGGTCACGTTCGCTAGAGTGACGTCACACGCTGAGGTACCGCCTGAAGCGAAATAATTCTTGCAAGCGCAAGAATTATTTATTTGTGTAAATATTCAATATTTTTTTGTGCAGTTAATTTTTGTTCTATTATTCTTTCATTTTTATACAAAATAAAAATAGTAAACCTCTTCATTATTATCTAACGTTTGATCTAACGTCTTATAAAAATATTTCCCAAAAATATACCACAACTAAACTCGCAAATATATGCTCACTAAACTAGACTAAAATTACCTGCATAGAGTAGGCTGCTCCACGCGGGGTACCTGCAGCGTTTTAGGTTTTTCTTTACTATACAAAAGATCATAGAAATAATTAAAGAAACTAACTATAGGATACAAATTGACATGTATTATTTGTGCTGTGCTTGTTATATTATCTTGGATTGGACAAACCAATCCTGCTTGGTCTGCTGACAGTTGATCTGATAACTTAACAGATAATCCAGGGCTTCTTTTTGACAGATCAATTAGAGCTTCAATTAGGCGGAAGAACCGTTGTTGTACGAAAACAGACAGCTTTGATCATTCTAGTGAATGCCGGTAACAGCAGGTATAATGATATTTATATAGTTTGGATACTGACAAAATCGGAATTTTTCAAGGGAAACTTTAAAATTATAGGTAAAGAACGAGCAAACCTTTTCTCTTTAAAATATTAGTAATATAAATGTGCACTTTTTTCGATGTTTATGATTTTGGAGAATACGAAAAGTTTTCTGGCAGAGAAAAATCGGATTAATTACGAACGCCAGATTGAAATTTCGATTAAACTCCTAAAATTTATTCATTTTCATAATACGATTCAAAGCTACGGATAAACTTATTGGAAGTCATAATACAGAGCGACTTCTGTCAGGTCAGCCTGCAGTAAAAATACGTACAATTTTAGCTTTTATTTTGAAAGAACGCTACCTCTTAAAGACACGTTAATTATATAATGAATACGCATCGGAGGAAGCTTACTGTATATACCATCAGTTTTTTCAATAGCCTTCAGGTGGGTCTGTATGGATAGGATCCCACTCTCAACCAATCAAGCCAATCTCAACTTTCAAAAACTAAGATTTAAAGTTGTAAAATTAAAGACAATCCCGCCCGGTGTCGGATACTCGAGTCAAATAATGAAAATTGATTAATAAAGATATCTTAGTTTCATGTTGAGGCCACGTATTTTCCAACACACCCTGGTAATTCGATACAGTTCCCTCGTGTGCATATCGTACCTACATTATGTTGAATAGTTTACGTTCAACTGAACTAACTCATGTTTGACTTAATTAGTAGTTTGTAATATAAATGTTTAATGTATTAATGTTTCAAATTAATTGATTATACGCCTCCTGTTGCTAATAGAAATATCAGATATTGAAATACCAATTAAGGTTGTCAGCCAAGTAAAAATACGAGATTTTTCTTTAAGCGAATAATATTTCATTACGTTTATTTTGATCTTGCTTTATAACATTAACGTGACACGATTCATTCATTGTGATCTAAAGAAAATGAATAATTTCCTAAAGTTACAACAGCCCGTCTGTCGTCCGCGAAATTAACTGTCGCTCCCCATGTCCACTTCCCTTTATTAAAGTCGAATTCTTAACGATTTCCCTCAAACGAGCATCAACGTATTGTTTTATTCATGAACGTCGAACAGTCTGCTGAAGAGCTTTGTGAATTTTCTCTCGTATCGCACACTAGCTCTTGATAGACCATTATTATTCATGAAAATCATAAATAAGACTACGTAGGAAAAGTGGCAAATTGAGCTTGTAAACTAGTGGCCGTTAAACGTGACGTTGATCAATCGTGTGCCTCATCAAATTTTGTTTGTCTGTTAGATAGATTGTTGAAAAAAATATTTTTCAACAAAACAAACAAGTATTTTCTACAAAACTGTGACGTAGCGAACTGAGGGTTCGCTTCGCTCTTCAAATTTGATGCCTGTTTTCTAAGATATTTCTTGTTAAATTAAAGTGAAAAAATACGTATCTACCCACAATATGTTTCTATTTTTGACTGACGGACTAAATAGTTTTATTTATTTATTTTTACCTAGGCATAAACCCTATAAGCTAAAACATCAAACTGACTCTTTCATACTTCTTCTATAAAATATTGGAGAAAAGAGTGGGCCTACTCTTCATGGAATTCGCTATCTGTACATATGAAGCGCGGCATAAATTTATTTTACTTTCGTATTTTTGCATTTGTAGCGTTAAAGTTCAGAGGACAGATTTGTCGTCCTCTTCGATTGTTACGATAGATAAATTGACGCGACATCTCGTGACATGTGACAGAGACATGCTAGAATGTACCTCACAGTTACTTGGCCTGTATAAATAAGTTTTTCTTATTTATTTCTGTCACGCTATATGTGAATAGCAAAGACGCCGACAAGGTTTTTATTAGTATTATGAGATCTGAGTAATAATAATGTAAGATAAATAGTATAAAGCTTGTATTTGGATGTTTAAATCACATTGAGCGGTAAATATACTTCATATTTTTATTGTATCAATATAAGATATCAAATAAACAAGAAAATGTTCACGTATTTATTTAATCTGGTTGCTTATTTATTTCATGTCCATTGTTATCGTTATTAGTATACAAACCAAATATTATGATAGGTTCTCGTTGGGAAATTCTAAGTTTTTTTTATCATCTTGTATCTTAACCATAATAGTAACCCTTATGAGACACCGCCCGGCGCTGTGGCCTCAATTTTACCGCCTCTCATATTTGCCGCTCTTGGCAATGGTTTGCCTCCTTCCGATTGGGTTTTGCTTTATGTTGACAGTAGGTTCAAAGAATTCTTTGGAATTAAGATATCATTGGTTTTTAAAGTTATCTGGCGAACTTGGAGTGGGGTACTTTTCTGTCTGTTAACGTATAATATTGTTTATATATGAACTTGAAGCGTATCTGGCATTATAATGAAAGAAAATAAACCCCGTTGAATCAATCCTATTAATATTATAAATGTGAAAATTTATTTGTTTGGATGTTTGTCCGTCAATTTGTTATATTTGTTATACATGTAGGGTATTAGCTGACTTAGATAATAGGATAATTTTTATCCCACTAAACATTTCCCTAGGGTCCACGCGGGCGAAGCCGCTGGCGAAAGCTAGTAAATAATAATTTGTAATTGTATCGCTCCAAAAATAATATTGTAATTTTGTTATCATCTCTGAAACTGTTCGAAGAAATAATAATGGATACTAATGCTTTCTAAATGTCATTACCGTCATCGTCGCCGGTCTATTAATGTCCCACTAGGTACAGACGGCCCTCTCTAGGGATGAAATCAATCAAATACAAAGAAGCACCATAATCCAACACGCGCTCAAAGTATGGATTGGTTGATTGTAACAATAGCAGTTGCAATCGGTATCAACGGCTTAATATGCTGTTCCAAGTCGTTGCTTGACGCTTGATACGCCTTTAAGCTCTAATGGTGTCATATTTGTATGGGATGATGTCGCTTTAAACTAATGAAAATTTAAATGGATGTTAGTGCAACTGGCTATTACTATAATAATTGATTTGAATGTTGTTGCAGGCGCGCGGCTACCTCGAGTCGCTGCCGTTCAAGCCGCGCGTGCCGTGGGCGGAACTGTTCCCCGGCGCTGATGCGCGCGCGCTCGACTTACTCCACCGCATGCTGACTTTTAACCCTCACAAACGGATCACTGTCGAGGAGGCGCTCGCACATCCCTACTTAGAGCAGTACTATGATCCCAACGACGAGGTATGTTTATCCCCTTTGTAAATTACCACAGTCACTATAGGTCCACCTTGTAGGTAACTTATGATGGAGATTATCGATATCAACCTCTTGGGGTCAAAATTAGTTGCTAAAATGAGTGAAATTAAACGAAAATTAATTCTGAAGGTCCGACAAGTTCTACAATTAGACTCCTTTTAATTTGTACAAGTTTTTGTAACTTTCAAGTTATTGTATAAGTATAATGCTTTGTCTACTTATTTTGTTAAATTCTAATGAGAAATGAAGTCAAGTTTATTCACTTAATCAACCGAGCATTTTAAACGATCGGTATTATCTTATTGATAGGAAGGAGATGAGCTAGAATTTTATATTGGCCATGAGGGTCTAAAGTATGAATTCATTTTGGAAATGGATATTTTACCCAATAGTTTGGCACCCGCCCCGGGTTCCAAAAAGTCGAAATACTTTTTGTTTACAAGTAGGTAAAGGTATTTGATATCTTAAAAAAACATAGCGTAATCCATAGCACAGTACCTACATCAACATATTGCTTTAAACGTGAAGCGAAACATATCATTATCAAAGAATAAATATTTTCATTGATAAACAAAACGTTATATCAACAAAAACTTAATTCTTCACAGTGAATTTTGTGTTATCAAATCAAATCAAATCAAAATTTATTTATTCAATTTAGGCTTTTACAGAGCACATACTGCAATTTAGGCTTTTACAGAGCACATTATGGATACATACTGCAGCTATAAGTTAAAAAGAAAAGCAAACTCATTACGCATTTCATTCGTAAAAGAGATAATTGTACGTCAAACTTTTATTGTTTACTTAAAAAGAAAAAAGAAAACTTGGCGTTTTTCCTCAGAGATGAAAGTCACTAGGCGAAAATATACAAATTTCGTGACTCGTCACACCGTTTGAATAACTCACTAAGTTGCGTTATTCACAAACGATATGAAACGGGTTCAACTGTGATTTAGCTTCTAACGAGCGACAGTGACGAGGCATTAAACAGAAATCACATACATGGATACGACAGCCTAACTCTCTAGCAATAACTCTTGCTTTAAAAATGCAACATCTTTGCGGATATTTGGTTTTATTTTACTACTTTGGCATATTCTTTCAATGGATAAACAATTAAGTTCCTAACACTGCTGTCATATGCATAGCCATCATTATTTATTATTCGTTAGTAGTAAAATTCATGTGTGATGAAAGTAAAAAAAAGTCTATGGTCTAGACTAACGTCTAGACCATAGACTTTTTTTTAACATTTTAGCATCTTAGCATTTTTAACATCTTAGCGGATAATATAGCGATATTTGGTTTTATTTTACTACTTTGGCATATTCTTTCAATGGATAAACAATTAAGTTCCTTACACTGCTGTCATATGCATAGCCATCATTATTTATTATTCGTTAGTAGTAAAATTCATGTGTGATGAAAGTAAAAAAATGTCTATGGTCTAGACGTTAGTCTAGACCATAGACATTTTTTTACTTTTTCTTCTTTGGTATATGCTAAAGGCGAAGAAATCCTACCCCATACAGCCACCTCTGGCATTTATTGGTGAGGTCTATTATTAAATATAAGTATTTTTCATTTTTAGCTCAATTACATCATATTATTTTTTTTTATATTTTAATATAATAAATTGTCAGATAAAATATTGTTCCGCGTACCGAACAGGCTCTGCCAGAATATCAGCGTTGATGTAGCACATTTCGCGTCGCATCAAAACCAGCTGAGGCAGAATCCTGGTTGATCTCACTTTCTTTCTTTCCTAATAATGTACTATCTTGTTTGTGCCTTTGTGAGATCAATAAATGTTTCTTCTTCTTCTTCATGTCAAAGTAGTAAATGAAACGAATTATCGTCATAACTTTGCTAAGAAGTTATATTCTATGGCTAGAGAGTTAGACAGTCACACCCCTATTTATATGTGAGTTAGGACAAGTAAAGAGTCTAATATTTAACAATATACGATTTTAAACGTAAAGAATAACGACTAGCTAACCCGAAATACTTTGTTATGTAATAATTAACGATATTTACAAAACTCATTCTGTTAATTCTACGAGTATGTTATACGTTATAAGGTTACATTAAAAAGTTTATATTATCCAAAGCACTAACCTTAGATAAGATAATTTTACATGGTCGTTGAATATTCTTAAATTCTCAAAATTACCACACAATTTTCTTATTTTTTCTCTCATAAGAACCTTTTCCTGACAATAACAAATAGCCGTTCACGTGTGATGGCGTGACCAAGGGAAATAGGGATTTTTATATATTAGATTTAATCTTGTACAAATAATATTATTCAATATTTTATAATATAGAAAAATTGAGAGACATGTGATGAGAAGATATGATTTGCATGTATCAGAAAGGGTTATGAGTATGAACGTGGAGGGAATTTAAACACAGGAAGGCCGAAGAAATTATAGTTAGGTTAGACTGTGTGAAAGATAATATGCGAAAGGTGTTATGATAACGGCTGATCAAGACGTATGGAAGAAGATATTGCTCCCAAATAAATAATTAGGAAAAGGGCAAGCAAATTATGATTGATACTTCTTCTATATTTTCTAACATAAATGTCACGGTAACATCGTAAGTATCGTTTTACTTTAACTGACCAATAATAGTCTTAATTTATAAATATATTTGTTTTCTATATACATTCTATTTGTATTATCTTTAACAATGTAATCAGATAGACGCGCTCAGAGCTATTTTTTTTATTTTATTTAAATTCAAAATTTTACATATTTTATTATTGTTTCTATACGTGTTAAGACCACAAACGTGACATTGGCGGAATTGTGTAAATGCAAATAGGCCATGAATTAAAAAAGAAGAAGAAGAAGACTTTAACTGACGTCGCCTTGGTAATGCGTTCCTGTCCTGTCATCTGTCAAATACTCATCACTAGTCAAGATATATTTTTTTTACTAATCCGGCACAAATACCCCGTTATCAAATATCTTTGTCAGTTATTGAGAATGTCAAACGAAAGAGTTGTATGCTAACTTCAATTCTTCAACGGGTATAGGTAACTTTTATAGTGTTTCTTAATCATTTAAATCCTCATTTGATCCAAAAGTGATTGCGACTTCAGAAGTTATATAATTCCATAGACAATTAGCCCATTAATTGTGACTCGTCAACGAGTTCGTTTAATTCAAGTAATAATGAAGGCATGTGATAAAACAGCAAAAATAATAATTAAATATGTGATATTAACAATGTTACTGTACTATTAGCATTCTGCTTTTATTTATCTATGACAATATACAGTTAATTCTACACAGTACTCGTGACATTTGAAATATCTATCATTCATAAAATTATATCCTATATTTTTTCAATGTTTCATATCTTTGATATTGCCCTTTACCAAATGAAATTCGATTGTATATATTCTTGAATTCTTTTTTTTTTTACTTTTACAAAGCAGTAACCAAAAATCACGTTTTCAAGTCGCATGATTCATATAAATATGGATGGATAACTTATTAAACACATTATTTTGAAATAAGAAACAATATGTAGCAATTAGATTAAAAATAACCTTAATAATTTGCCCACTTTGGTAGTACAGTGAGATAAAAGCTATCAATCTTACTTTTATATGTGTATTGTATAAAGGAAATACAACACAATATGTGCGAACATTACACTAATCACATCGCAAAACGTGACGGATGGCCACTTTCTGGTAGACCAGGAGCTCTATTTTCGAAATATAGAATTTTGTTCTTCATATTTTATGGAAAATTTATATATAAAATTGCGAATATAAACAAAACTGGCAATAAACGTATTTATTCATTCATTTCAACTTCGTTTATTAATTTCATGTTTCGACATGTAACTTATGACTCGCTTATAGCGTTCTCTAAATAACGAGTGGTGCATTACGCTCGTTGCAGTCAAGTGAATTAGAAATAGCGAATTTGTTGTCGATAAAAAATCAGTAGAAAACGAGCGCTCGACACGTAGCGAATGATTCAAAATACAGCACCAGGCGCTCGCATTGGTGATGCCCCAGATGTTGTCCACGGTCTCTATCTAAAGTTATATGCTTGCACTAATGATGAAACGTAATTTGTAGGTAAGCATTCAGCAGATAGACTTTAGGTAATCATTCATCCCAAGTTAATATAGAATAAGTAGTGATATAGACATAGTTACTTATATTATGGATACTACTATCTAAATTATACTTAAAAAATATATTTATTTATTATTCTATTATCATATGTAATATATATATTATATAAAAGCGAAATGTCACGTACTCGCTCACTCAACATCTGGTAATGGAAAGCGAAAGAAAGAGAACTTTGTCTAATTTATGATGTCATAATCATAAGTAGAGTTCGATAGCGCAGTGGTTAGGGCGCTCGGTCTGCGATACGGTTGTTAAGCAACTTTTGCAATGGTCTGCCATAGGATGGGTTACCGAACATTTATTATCTCGAGCTTCTCTGCGCTTCGGAAGGCACGTTAAGGTGTTGGTGCCGGCTGCTTCGTTAATACCCACCAATCCGCACTGAGCACGTGTGATGGACAATGGCTCGTTCTCCCTACTCGATTTGATTCTATTCCATCCATAAAGAAGCCCCAGCAGTGGGGACATCAAATAGGTGATGATGATGAATCATAATTGGGACTATTTCTAATCTAAACGATGTTTTTAGATCCATTAATATGAAAATTTCCTATCGCAATGAACAACGAATGCCCGATAAAACGAAATCAAACCGCAACCCTACTGAACGACATCTGATCAGATAAATTGATAAATGAAACTACCTTACCCAGAATGTGTACGCAGTTCGCCGCTCGTGAAATACAATTTCTATATTGATGGCACCAATAAATTGCCTTTACGTACAGGTGGCATTGATGGCATTATTATCGGCATACAAAATAAAATAAAAAACCGTAATTTATGTTTTTTTATTGTTTGGGCACACAGCTATGAT